CAGAGAGACGCTCTGGGTGAGGAGGGTGTTGCCGGCTCTGGGTGAGGAGGGCGTTGCCGCAAGGCGAGGGCAGAGACGTGGGTGTTTCCGTGGGTCTAGAGTGTCCCTGACCCCCCAGGATACCCAAGGGGCCCTAAGCTCCCTCGCAGGCTGGCCGACTCTAAGCCCCTTCCCAGGAACTGGACAGGGATGGGACCATGGAGATGCAGGGACACAGCCGGAGTCGGGGGGGGGGGGGCGCGGAGCTGCGCCCGCACGCACGAGGGAATTTCCTTTGAAAAAGAGTGAAACTGTTGGGAAACTTGTCTTCCTTGAACCTTCTCCCCAGCTCCCCTGTTTCCCACAGCCCAGATGTGGCCTTCCCGTTTTCTGGGGTTGGTGGTGGTGGTGGTGGGGACTTCCTTAGGGCTCCCCATCTGCGGTGGCTACTCTTTCGGTTCTGCTGGGATTTCCGCAGGCGCCGACCAAGAACCCTGGGGGTCCCAATGGCGGGCCTCACCACAGTAACGATGGGGGGGTCTCTGTTCCCGTCCTTCGCCCTCCTTCCAGAAAGCGGGGTGGCTTCCAGCCCCTTTCAGCTTGGCCTTTGTAACTCCAGCGGGCGAAGAGGAAAGACTCGCCCAGGAACTTCTCCCCTCCTCGGTCTCTCCAACCTTTCTCCCGGGACCCCCCTCCCGCCCCCTCCCCCGAGTCCCTAAACTCCCGGGGGAATCAGACTCCCGGCCAGCGGAGGGAAATCCCTAGCGCGAGTCTCCGGGACTGCGATTGGTCCCAGCGGTCCCCGCTCCTTTCCTGGGCGGGGCCGGGTCCGGAGTTACTAGAAGCGGCCGGCTCTCTCAGTCGCGTCCTCTTCCTCGCCATGGTTTGCCGGCCACTGCAGTGTCTCTTCTGGGGCTGCTTGGTGACCGCAGTGAGTTGCATCCCTGCTCCCATCCCACGGGAGCGTTTGGGGTTTGAGAGGAGGGAGTGGAAAGAGAAACAAGGCTGGGGGTGGGGCGTCCCTAGTTTATGGGCGGGCGGTGGAGCTGGGCAAATAGCTGGATCTTGGCTGAATGAGCTGGCTTTCTAGGCGGGTCATAGTGGGTCACTGCAGGAAAAGTGGCTGGGTGGTATGGATGGGGTTGGGGTTTAGGGGAGCCTGAATCATCTTTTCAGAAGGTTGGCACAGCATTGCCTCAGTGGCTGGACAGGCAGAGAGGGTAAGGGGTTTCAGAAGCAGAGCACTGGGTCCTGCAGGCTTCCTGGCCCTTTCCCATCGGCTGACAGATGCCAGCCTCTGTGAGCTGGTATCATCTCCTTGCCAGCGGGGGCTGCCTTCATCCAGGGCATGGTGTGGGAACAAGGGTGGGTGCAGGTATTTCTCTAAGAAGGCAAGGCGTCTTCACACCCTCCAATCCTGGGCCACCCCATTCAGGACTAGCCAAGGCTGTGCCTCTGCCTCCTGAATTTGAGATGACAAGGGGATTCCTGAGGGAGATGGACAGTTTATGGGACCCAAAAAAGGGTTAGGGGACCAACAGGGGTTTTTCTCCCGGCACCAGAAGGACTCAGCGATGCCCAGCCAAGCACATCTCCGGGATTTTCAGAAGGCCACACTTGACTCACTTTTTTGTTTTAAATGTATTCTTGTAGTTCCTCATTCAGGAGACTGGGAATTCCCCAAGTACCCAACTTGTTCATCCAAAGCTTCTGGCCTCCCTGACTTTCGAGGGCTGCAGATTCTGCAGGAAGTCTGGGTGGGAAGGACCCAAGTGGAGCTGGGGGAGTGTGGGCAGCAAGGGAAGAGAGCCAGTGAGGAAGCTGCTGTGGTCCTGGGGTTTCATTTTCATTCTAAGCAATGGCTCCTGGGAGAAGGAGGCAGGAAGGGGTGGGGCTGGAGACCAAAGAAAGGGAACACGATTCTGGAGAGGTGTGGTGAGGGCGAGCTAGGCTTCTAAGCCCATACTCCCAGTTTTGACTTCGGGTGGAAACTGGGCTGTGGCTACCATAGTGGGGGCTATTTATCAAGAGTTTCTTGTGGGGTCAGACTCCAAGCAAAAGGCTTCACCTGCATTCTTGGTCTGATTTATCTTAATTCCCCCATTACACAGATGAGTAAACTGAGGCTCAGGAGTACTACTTTGCCAATATTCTCCTAGCTGGTGGGAGCTGGATGTAAACCTGTATCTGCCTGACCCCTGGGCTGGCCTCAGCTGGGGAGAGTCTGCAGCCTGAGTCCAAACTCCCTGGGTCAGAAGGTCCAGAGCTATGGAGGGAGAGGGCACTATATTTCTCATGGGTTTGCAGATGCCCACAGGGCTGCCGTTGCTCTGAGAGGGTGGTGGGAAGGTCCACAGAGTTGCAAGAAGAACGGCACAGTGTGATGTGTTGTGTTGATTAGGGGCAAGACCATTTCTGTAAGTAATTTGCCCAGCCAGGTAGCCGAGGTGGGAGGCCTCCACGTGGACACTCACGAATGTGTGATATTAAAGCTGCCCCTTAATGAACCCAACTAATGTGCACCTACCATGGACTACTGGCGACCTACTGTGCAGAGGCCATTGGCATGTAACCTTTCTTATCTCTTGTCAGGCCTATCTGTGGGACAGGCATTGGGCTCTCATCATAGAGCTGTGCAAACAGGCTGAGAGAAGCAAACTAGCACCAAGCCACAACTGAAATCTCGTTGGACTCTCAAGCCTGTGCTGTTTTTCCTGGTGTTTCCCAAGTGTGTGTGTGTGTGGGGGGGGGGAGGGCAGTAGAGAATTAAACAGCATAGAATCACTTTACAGTTCTTTTAAAAACTCCTCATGCTGTTCAAGGAAGAAGTCTGTGGAGACCATCCTTAAGACCTTTCAAGTGCTTCCTAATCCTCTTTCATAAGCAACAATCAAGGGCTGCCCTAGGTGGGGGGCCTTCCTTAAACAAAGCAATGCATGAGGCTTAATGCCTTTGTCTGGGAGAGGCCTGTGTCTCCCACACCAAGTGGGTCAGCTCCCAGGTCAGGACTGCAGGTAGCTTCATAGTGCTGAAGCTTCACCCCTCATGCCACCAGGGATGCCCCTCTGTTGACTCTATTTTAAGGATTACCTCTTCAAGAGAAGTGATGCTGGTTCTCCACCCATGGCAATGATAATAAGGCTTAGGCTTAAAATAAGCATATTTACATTAAAAAGAAATAATAGCATGGGCAGAACCAGGAAGGGGTAAAAATAGTGCAGTGAGACAGACTCAAGTTGACAGAGAGAGGCCGAGTTCCTCAGATTCTGTCAGTGTGACACTGGGCAAGTGACCCAGCCTCCATTTCTGTCCCACTGTTTGCAAAGTGAAGGCCTTGGGTTTTCCCTCCTCAGCTTTACCATCTGGCATTTCACATGGGAGGGGTGAGATGAGCAGAGGATTGGGGTTGGAGGGAGAAAGCTTGATGAAGCCGGGAGAGGGAGAGGAAGGGGGAGCAGAAGAATAGAAGGAAGAGGCGGTGCTAAATACAGCCCCAGGACTAGCTGAAGCCAGCCAGTCTCCAGGTTCCAGGGGGTAATAGAGTCCCTGGTCCTTTGGGATCTTTGGAAAGAGGCTAGACTGAGGAGTCAACCAAGCAGAAGACCCACGAATACTGTGAGGTTCTCGTGTCAACACTGTAGAAAACAGAGTGATCCTCTGGGTACTTTTCTGATCACGTCGCACGGCAGTTCAGCTAAACACAGCATACCCAGGAATCGGTGGCTCCATTTCCATTTGGGTTTCCACTACAGTTCTAACCTTTGTCCTGGCTGATCACCACCGTCCTGCCAGGGAGGCTATGGCAGAGATGTCAAGATCCCTTCTAATTGCACAATTCTGTTTTTAGATCCACCCAGAACCATCCACTGTATGCAAAGAAAACCAATACTTACAAAACAACCTGTGTTGTAACCTGTGCCAGCCAGGTGAGGTGCCACCCCTTCAGCCCGAGGGGGACCCCTTTTGGCTTGCTGGAAGATGCAGACCCAGTTGTGACTGTGGATTCAATCTTACATGACCCCTGGGATTCACCACTCTTGTTCTGCTGTTGGAATATTCTGGGTTCCCTCTGCCTACTCAGGAGGAAGGTACCGATCGCCTCCATGTCCCCCACTAGACATGAAGCTGGAAGGATCCTAGACACTCACCTTTCAATCTCGAGCCCTGTCTGAGCCATTTTTGATAAGTGTCTGACTGATTGAGTTGGCCAGAACTGCCTCATTTCCTGATGTTTTCCAGGACAGAAACTGGTGAAGGATTGCACAGAGACTGCTCAGACAGAATGCATTTCTTGCAGTGAAGCCGAATTCCAAGATGCCTTTAACAAAGAAACACGCTGTCACCAGCACAGATACTGTGACCCCAGTGCGTGGGCTGCGGGGGCAGGGTTGTTTGGGAGCAGGGTGTGTGTTCCAGCTCTTTCCAGGATGTAGGCAATTCTAGCTTGGTTTTGTTTTACTAGCCAGAGGCCTTGTTTTACTAGCCAGAGGCCATTCTGATTGGCTGGTGCCTGGGTTGTACTGGTTGTTAAATGATTGGGTTGCCATTCCTACCTGGAAGAGGGTCTAAGAAAGAAGAAGTAGGCGGTGGGAGCAGCGCCCGGCACAGGCACGGTCAGCAGGGGGTTCCCATCTTCCCTGCCCATCTCTGCTCAGACCTAGGGCTGCAGATTCGCACGCCGGGCACCTTGCAGACAGACACCACTTGCAAGTGTGAAGAAGGCCAGCACTGTGTCGGCCATGATTGCGACAACTGCTTCTCACATAGTCCATGCCTCCCAGGCTATGGTGTCCAGCGGATGGGTAAGTGTCCCATTGGGGATCAGCTCTAAGGCTAGAGAGTGAGGCGGAGAGACTGGGTGGAGGAGGCAGGGGAAAGGAGGGGCCAGCCTTCCTCCATGGCTTCTCCACCAGGCTGGGCAGGACATGGAAACATTCTTGTCCAGTTTCCTGCCATGGACCCCTGCCTTGGAGAACAGGGGGAGAAGCCTTCTCGGGGGTGGCCTTGGGAGGAGGGAGATACATGCTGGGGAAAGACGCCCCGCCAGTTCCCCTGAGAGCCCACGGGGGTCCACCGTGATGACCAGTGCCCCTTCTCCCTTCCAGCTACAGAGGTTTCTGACACCGTCTGTGAGCCCTGCCCTGTCGGCTTCTTCTCCAACGTGTCCTCTGCTTTGGAAAAGTGTAACCCTTGGACAAGGTATAAGGACTCCTCTCTAGGAGCGTGGGCCCGGCCTCTCTGGCCACCTGCCCTAGTTCTGCACCCTGCCCCTCCCCCCCCACGCATGCACTTATGCACTTATTGAACATCTGGAGTGACCTTGTGGTCCACCAGCGGGCCGCAGCTTCCTGTCTGTTCTCATGGTGGTAATAGACACTTTGATGTCTCTTTCCTCCCAAAACTTCTCCTCAGCTCACCTCCTCTTTGGCTTTCTGGGCCCTGGTTCGGGACTGTACTCTCCAGCCACGTTATCTGCCTCTCCTGGTCATCTCATCTGCGTTTGTCGCTTCAGCTACCATCTCCCTCAGACAGTTCCCGGTCAGCATCTCCTGTCCAGAGTCATCCTGGGTCCCAGGCTGTCATGTCCAGCTGCCAACAGGGCCCCTCTGCCCGGCTGACCCACAGGCACCTCAAGCTCCATGCATCCAAAGTGGGCCCCCAACCTACCACCCCCCCCAGTCCAGGGGCCCTCTGCTTGTAACCCCCAGCCCCACATCAGCCTCTGGCTTCTGCCCACTGGCCTTCTGAATGTTTTGGGGTCTGTCTCTTTGCTGGCTGCACAGCCACGGCTGGTTTGGACCCTCCCCCGCATCCTGTGTGACGCCTCGCGGCTGGTGTGGCAAGGAGCCATGTCTGCGTGGCCTCCTGCTGGCCTCCTGCCGGCCTCCTGCCTCCAGTCTCTCCCCTTCAGCTGACTCCCAGCCTATCCCAGGAGTGTGGCTTCTTCCTACAGTCCATTTTGAATCACAGCACTCCTGCTTACAGTACTTCGTGGCTTCTGCTCCCCCTGAAACGAACACTAGGCTCCTTCCGGTAGCTGCTGACCTTCCACATCCTGTGCTGGGCAGACCCCTCAACATCCTGACCATCTTCCCGTAGAACCTTCTCTGTCTCGAATACCCTCAAACCGCCCTCCCCCCACTAACCCCTTACATTTAATTCTTAGCAGTGGGTAGGTTGGCATGTGGGACAGAAGGCATGAGAGGGCACAGCGACACCTCCCTTCACCCTGTCCCTCGGCCACCCACGGCTCCCTGGGGGCAGCCACTGCTCCTGTGTGTCCCTTCAGAGACTGACCCCCGCAGACACTTGCACGCACTGCCCACGCCATGGGTCCTCCCGTACAAACGCCTCATTTGTGCACAGCCTGCCTTTCTCCAGTAGACTGCAAACTCCTCCAATGTAGACCCCTCCCCCCCACAGAGCCCCAATGCCCGCAGTAGCTCCTGGAGCCTTCTGGGTGCAGGCACATCTTTGCCGCGGCCTTTGCTGACAGGTGTAGGCTGGCAGCTGCAGATACAGCACTGAGTTCTGGACTCACTGCAGCTGAGAAAGGGTGATACCGCGTGTCACCGAGCCGGCAGGGAAGGTATAAAGGTGTCTTGCCGAGGCTCACGGCCACCTCCCGGTCACTCCTCTCGCACTGTCTTTCTTTGAAGCTCTGCTCTCTCCTTTCCCCTGGGCTTTCCCTCCGTGATGTCCTTCTCCGTCCCTTCCTTCCCCTCTCCTCTTGGGACCACCTTGGGTAGGTCTTCCTCACCTCATGCTCACACCCCGAGTGCCTCCTGGCTGGCCGCTTTTCTGAATGTCTCCCACGAGCTCTCTGTCCACTGAGTCCTGCACTACTGAAATCGTTTGTTTGGGGGCTGATAGGACTCACCAGATGAGCCCGTGGAAACCTTCAGGACCCATGACAACACTGCATGGCTTCTGCTTCCGGGCTGGCGCTCATGTCAGGGGAACTGGCTCTAAACAGCCAGCTTTTCCATTACCCCCATCACTCCCTGGCAGCTACACACCGAGTGCCTTGTGTCACGTAACCCTGCTTAGCTAGAATGCTCTGTTGCTCTAACTTTGCTGTCCTTCAGGGCCACTCATGTCTTACTTCCCCAGGGAAGACTTTCTGGATGGCCCTTAAACCAGAGGTTTGCAACTGAGTGTACTTTGTTGATCTGCCTGTTCTGCTCTCCACTCTGTCTCTGGTGAATCCTCTCACTGCCCCTGCACCTTTGGCCTGTACCCCAGTTGTGCATGCATACATAAATAAATCGTTAAAAAAAATGAAAAAACAGCCCACCTGGAAGGGCGAGAACAGCAAGTCAGATCCAGCTCCTGTGCTTGTCTTTTCGCTGCACACTCCCAGTTCATGTCCCCGCGTCACCAAGCCAGGCCCTCACTGCAGACTCTGGTCATTATTCTTCATTTTTCCGCACTCATGGGTTTCCTAGACCTGTGTGTTGTGCCTGGGGTGTGCAGCCCGGGGGGGCTCCATGTCAAATACTCAGTGAACTTGCACTTGGTGGTATTGACTGTCTCTCCCTGGGGCTAGGAATCTTACCCTGGGGAAACGTAACTTCTCTCTTTCTCTCTCTCTCTCTTTCTTTCCGTGGGCTTGTGCCTGTACACAGTTGTGAAGCCAAAGGCATGGCGGAGCTACAGGCTGGGACTACCGAGGCAGATGCTGTCTGTGGTGAGTTCTGGGGAATGTGTCCCGGAAGCAGGCTGGGAAGATGGGGACTGGATGGGGGAGACTGAGGCACACATCAGCCTTGGGAGGGGAGGTGGAGGGAGGGCTGAGGCGAGAGGGGACCTTGGGGGTTATGGCATCCCTGCTCTGCCACTATCCACGCAGCCTGGACAAGCCACTTTCCCTGTCTGAACCTCAGTTTCTTCATCCATGAAACGGGATGACAGAACCTCCCTGGGAAGGCTGGGGTAAGGGTGGCGAGGGCTTCTCGTGCTTTGAAGGTGCTCTTCGGTGTTCTTTTGCAACCTGCATAGTGGTGTATGGTTTCCGCTTTGATTTGAGAAGGAGGAGGGGGCTGGTCGCACAGCTCACAGGCTGTTAAAGCCCTGGCTGTGTTAATGAGTGAAAGAGATTGAGGTCAAAAATAATACAAAAATAATACATCTCTTTGCTTTTTCTTGAATTTCACTTTCCTACTGGTAGGGCAGGAACTTGCATGAGGCAAGCGTGGCTCTTCCTTTGTGCATGATATTTAAGGATGTGCCAGGAAAATGCACTCATCCAGATCTGCAGCTTTTTGATCTAATAGTTAAAGAAATCCCAATGCAAAGTGTCCATAATTAACAAACTACTAAACTTTTAAATAAAGACAGGATCCCGCCATCCCTCACTTGTTTCGTCCTAGCCCAGCTCGTTGCCAATAAAACTTTATTGAAAAAACAGGTAGCGGGGCTGAAGATCACAGTTGACTGATTTTTCAAGAATGTGACATTCTTATTCCTTATCTTGATGACTGAGGTTTTCCTGGCGTGTGTCCCCTTAAATTTTGCCCCAGGTAACTACCTTCCCTGCCTTATTCCTGTCCCTCTTGATTTTTCCTTCATCCCCCACTTGAAACAGAGGCATAGGGACCAGGAGTACTGTGTCCTCTTCTCCTCCCTCGTCTCCCTTTCATCTCCAAGGAAGGGGGCAGGGCAGGCGTGGGTGCTGCTGGCCTGCATGGGCAGAGCTTAGGGAGGGCTGGGGAGTGTGGCAGGAAGCACGATGCAGGTCTGGCAGACGCGCCCAGTGGGGCTGCTGGCTCGCCAGGGCCGGATCCTCTAAATCACAAAGAGAAATTGAGTATCCAGATTGCAAACATACAATCTCCCAATCTAAAAATGTTGGCATTAAAAAAAAAAAAATGTGCTGGCACCCGTGATTTGGTGATGGGAAGCCCATGGGGATTACAACCGAGTTAAAAAAAAAAAAAGGCATAGTTCTGTTCCCCCCTCTGTCTCTGGTGAAGCCTCTCACCGCCCCTGAGCCTCTGGCCTGTACCCCAGTTCTGTATGCACAAATAAATCAATCTTTAAAAAAAAAAAAGGCATAAAATGATCTAAAAATAAACTATTATATTATTAAAAAAAAATGTGCTGGGGCCCTCCCTGGTGGCGCAACAGGTTAGCACACAGCACTGCAAGCTGGCCGCAGCTGCTTCAGGGCAAGTTGGATCCCTGCCTGGAGCTGACCCACAGGGCGCGGCAGACCTCTCCTGACCCGTCCCTGCTCCCCTCCGCAGTGGACTTCCTCAGTCGCCTGTTCTGCTCCCCGCTCTGTCTCCGGGGAAGCCTCTCACCACTCCCCAGTTCTGTATGCATAAATAAATACATCTTTAAAAAAAAAACCTTTAAAAAAAATGTTGTGCTCGCTTCGGCAGCACATATACTAAAAAGAAAAAAAAAAAAGCGCTGATCACACTAAAGCTATCCGCTGGCCACCTTTGACCAGGGACTCCCTGCCTGGAATGTCTGACGCTGGCGCCTCAGCCAGGGAAGGCTGTTAGCAAGTGAGCGGCTCCGGGTGAGAGCCGCCGCTGAAGTTTTGGCTTCCCCAGGTCTCCAGAACCGGATGAGAGTCCTGCTGGTGCTCCCCATCATCATGGGCACCGTGCTGGTCGTCCTGCTGGTGTCTGCCTGTATCAGTGAGTTCCGGGGTGAGGAGGTGACGGGAAAGCAGAGGAAGGGGTACAGTAGGATTGGACACCTGTTTCCTCATCTGGTCTCACTAACGCCCATTTTTTTTTTTCCCCAGAAAAGGTGGCTAAGAAGCCAGAGGAGGAGGTTAGTCACCCCTGGGAACCCGAACAGAGTTTTAGCAAACTGGGAAGGAAGATAGTCTCCTGGCTACTGAACGGGCCCTAAAACTGACTCGGGGCCCTTCTCTGTGGCCTCACCCTACGCTCCTCCAGTGTCAGCTTTTGTCCCCTCCAGAGCTCATCACTCTAGAGGGTGCCTGGTGCCATGGGCAGTCTGACATTTGCTGTTCTCTTGGCATTCAGTACTTGGGAGCTGGGCACAGGGCTAGAGGGCGGGAACCAGAGGGACAGCTCCCGGAGCCCACAGGCTGGCTCCCACTCTGGAAGCTTGTTGACACTGCTAGTGTGGCCAGCAGGGGGCAGGAGGCACCCGTGGAAACAGCCCTGACCCTCTGGGAAAGGGCCGGCGCCTGGAGGGAGTCCCACAGGAGGGAAGGGCCCCCTCACAGGTGTCGTGGGTGTGACCACCCGCCTTGGCTCCTCAGGTGATCCACTTCAAGACTAAAAGCTGTCCCGTGGAGATAGAAGATTCATCTCCTGTTCAGGAGACCTTACATGGGTGCCAGCCCGTCACGCAGGAGGATGGCAAAGAAAGCCGCATCTCGGTGCAGGAGAGACTGTAAGGTGGCAGGTGCCCTGCAGTGGGCAGGTGGGCACGTGGGCACGTGCCTGGAGAGCTTGGAGTTGCAGCTGCTGTGGAGGGAGGGGGAGGGGCTGGCGCCGGGTCCAGCCTTGCCCCACCTGCGCCTTGTGGTTTGAGAAAGGAACCCTAACACAGTTTCGGGGGGACTGCTCACCTGAGCCCTGGAGCCCACTCCATCTCCCAACTTGCTTCTAAAGATGGAGGCAAATCTCTTTTGGGGAAGGATCACATGGTAATACCTCCCAGGCCCTCCAAGCCAGCAGTTGCGAGCCCAGAGGCAGAGACAGGGTTCCCATGAGCCGGGAGAGACAAGCACAACCGTGTCCATCACAGCGGTGAATCGCTGGAAGCCACGTACCTGTCCAACAACAAGGGACTGGCTAAATAAAACTGTAACAGATTTGTGCAGAATCTCGAAATCACTGTCACGGGGGTAAAAAAAAAAAAGTGGCAGGAGGTGGGTACAGAGACCTTTTTTTCAAAGCACGTGGCCCGACAGGATCATGTACCTGGTGGGCCTGTAAAATAGCAAGGGTTCTGGAAGGATACACAGAACACTCACAGGGATGGGACAGAGGGGCTGGGAGAGGGGTGGTTAAAGACAGACTTGACTTTCCCATAAGCTTCACCCCCCATGCCCCTCGAAAGCACAGTGACTTCACAGAACACTCTGTAATTAGTCATCCTACATGTAAAAGCGAAGCAAGGGGCGACGTGCTAGGTAACACGAGCCGCTTAACTTGCCATCAGGCGCAGGGTAGGTACTTTGAGAGCAGCACTAAGAAGCTCCTCAGGCTGCTGCCCCTCCAGGGGGGTTTCTGTGGACACTCACCATGCCAGCAAAGCATTCTTCCCATAGGATTCAGGTTCACAAAACAGCCTGTGGGGTCCTCAACAGAGGTGGAAATGGAGGCCCAGAGAGGTGAAGTGACTTGCCTGTGGTCACACAGCAGTGGGTAGTGGGCCTCAGAGCTTCCTGCTCTGGGTCTGTGCTGCTTCCGGACCTGGCTACATCTGTACTTCCTCCCTGGGGGTGCTCCTGGGCTTCCCACCTCCTTTGCCCTCCCAAATGCTTCAGGAGCGGCTGCTGCTTGGTCAGATGGTGCCCCTTCCCCCCAGCAGTGTCTTAGGATAAAAATAAACCATCCTGTTCTCTTTTCCTGCTGTGCCAACTGAGGGGGAGCCTAGCCAAGAGGAGCAGCAGATGGAGTGGGAGCAGAGGGGACGGGAGAGGAGGGAGGAGGAAGAGGAAGAGCAAGGCAGAACCCTGGCACAAGATCGGGTGAGCGAGGCCAGGCGGACTTAGCAGGGTCCTCCCCCAGCAGCCAGAAGCCGCTCTGGAATTCCCCATGCAACCTGCTGCCCTGAGGGTGGGGATGAGGAGTTTGTCCTGATGGAGGCTGTGAGGGCAGCTGGGGGCACCTGGCTTGGCACACTGCCCAGAAGAGCTTCAGGAACCATTTGGATGTACCAGGTGGAGAGGTTTGGTTTAGAAAACGGAGCAAAATGGTGGAGTCGGTGGGGTGGGCCCTTGGCCCTCATCTCCTGCCTTGAGTCTAGATGCCAGTGGGACTCATTTCAAAGCATGCCTGACAGTGGGAAGACACAGCACAAACACCCCTGCCACTTGCTCATTCGTGTGACCTTGGATAGGTCACATGCACCACTCAACAGTGCCTGTGGCTTCAGGGGTGTATATTGAGACTAGGGTGCTCTTGCACCGGGGGCAGAGGTTCTCCATTGCCACGTTTCTGAACCACCTGCAGGACATGCTAAGCATGCTGGGCCCCAGCCAGCCCCTCTGGTTCGGTAGGTTGGGATGGAGAGGGAGGACTTGTGTTCCTGACCAAGGTTCCAGGTGGTGCTGATGCCATGGTGGGGCCCACTCTTGAACCTGCCAAGTTCATTTATCTCCATGGTCACTTTCCTGTGGATTGGGATCTCCTTGGCCTTGAAGACCTGGGTGGTGTGGTGGGTAAGATGTACCGGGGAGGTAACGGCCCAGAATACTCAGCCAGCCGGAATGAAAGCCTCGGTGCTGTTGGGTGGGACGTGGGAGGGGGCCTCTGAGGGTTCTGTCCTGTCTCCTGGGTCCCCCGGAGGGGTCTCAGTTCCCCTCTGGCTGGCTCCCTCCCCTACCCCATCTCTACGGTCCGCTCCTGCTTCCTGAGTCCAGCTCCTGAATAAACCACCTGCCTTCATTCCTTGTCACAGAGTGCTTCTGGGAGAAGTCACCCCTTAGAGTCAGCGGGGCTTGTGCCCGAGAAGGTACGATTTTGTCTATCAGCGTCTCGACAAAGAGGAGTTGTTATTCCTGGCAGCTATTGCAAGCTCTGGGCTCCGAATGGAGCTTAGCCAGGAGCTTTCTGTGTGACCTTGGCAAAGTTACTCTCTGGTGCTGGGGGTTGCTGGGACCCCACCGAGGCCCAGGGTGGGCCTGCCAATTCTAAAAATAAGCGGAGAGGACTAAGCTACTGTAGGGTCTGCTCTGGCCAGTATGGGGGTGCGTGGGTGTGAGGCCTGTATCAGCCAGAAGGTGGCGCTAAGTCCACGTCGAAAGCCTCGTGGCTTCTTGGGCACGGGGTGAAGTTGGCCTTAGCTCCCGCCACATCCCGCTCACACTTCCCTCAGCCGGTGGTCATGGCTGGAGAGCCATGGCGGGAGCCCCCTGCAGCCTCTACTTCATCAGCCCCCCGGGTCTCTCCTTCTCCACTCCTTCTTCCGTTCACAAGCCTCAGGTCTTGCACCCCCAGCTGGGGCTGTGCACGAGGACCTTCGGGAGAGCTGTGGGCACAGTGCTGGCTCTGCACGGTTCGGCTCTGAGAACTTTCCATGCACTGCCTCAGGGGATCCCCTCCGAAGGCAAGGTCTCAGGGGAGCCCCGCCGAAGGCAAGGTCTCAGAGCACCCATTTTAGAGGCTCAGAGGCTAAATGACTTGTTGAGGTCTGAAGAGTTAGAGCTGGGATTTGGGATTAGAACGACCCCAAACCTGTATTTTCCTCACCTAGAAAGTAGGAAAACAGGTACATGTTAACAGGAAAGACCATGGGAGAGGCCAGGCAGAGGGAAGCCTGAGAAGCTAAGTTCTGGGGCAGGGGTGGCAAACTCACACTCACGAGGGCCGGGCCAGGCCGGAGCCGTCAGGGAGGCAGAGCCGAAGGCAGAGGAGAGAGGCTCTGCCCATCCTGGGGCAGGGCAGCACCTGGCAATTTCTTCCTTGGTTGCCCTGACACAGTGGGAGCTGTGTGTGGCTTGGATGTTCCTAAACATCCTGATGTTTAAATGCTACCAGCTCCGGGCATCAAAGCCATAGGGGAAGCTGAGGACGTTTGGCATAGAGGTTCAGGGTTAAAGCAGAGGGGGGGCTTCATGCATCTGCTTTTTGTTTTATATCTGGGGAAACTGAGGCCCTGGGAGGAGCCAGTGAGTGAAGCCATGTGTCCCCGAAAGTTGTCTCCTTTAGAACCCACTGAGAACCCATTGGGGCTTGGGTTCCACACATGCCAGCTTGGCTATGGGGGTTGAACGCTAGGATTGGGGTGCAAGGGCTGAGCAGGGTGTAGGGGTCCTCGAAATTCTGCCCCATGTGGCCCACGCCCAGCCCCCAGGCCTGCACACACCTCCCCTCCTCCACACCTTCCCCTTAAGCTGTCAGGGCCCTGCAGGTCGATTCCTTGGGAACAGAAGTTATTAAAGACTCTGCCCCGAAGGGTTTCTCTCCCCCAGAGTGTTTCTGGCACAGAAAATTACAAACCCACCTGCAGGGGTGGGGAGATACAGTTTTAATTTGTGAAAAAAGGAAAAAAAATCCCATGCTGTGATCTGGAGTCTGGGGGTGGGGGAAGCTCACAGGCAGAGGGTCTCTCCTGGGACCTGCAGCAGGACTGGGAGGCTCCAGAGATCTCAGCAAGCACTGTGAGCAGCTTTTGCCACACAGGCAAAAGGGGCTCCCTGCCTCTCTCCCTCTCCCCTCCCCTGTCCCCGGGGCTCCCTGCCTCTCTCCCAGTCGACTGGCACATCCCGACTGGCACATCCCGCTGGGCCTTGGCGCCAGCCAGCTCCCAGCCTCCTCCTCCCTGCAGGAGTCCCTGCGCTGTGGCGCCCACCCTCTGCTGCCCACCCTCTGCAGTCTGCCTTCTCTCTGCCTCCTTCCCTGCCTCTGTCCGCCTCCCTGACCACCGCTTTCCCTTCTCCCTCAGTTCCATCTCACCCTGGCTCTCCTTTGAATGTGTTGTTTTGGCTAGTTCTGTGTAAGTCTTACCTGTGCATGGCACCCCTTCCATAGACAGGACACCAAGACCCCCAAAGAGCCTCCCACCAATCAGTTACAGGTCCCTCCAGATTTATGTTCTGTGCCAAAAAATATTTTAAACTTGGCCTATTGTTAGCATACTGTTTTTGTGAGCGGGCTTCCTTGCTTAGCAGCGTACAGAGGGGGTGTCTCTGTGCCAATAAATATAGATCGACTACATGCTTTTTCATTGCTGCATAGCATTCCACTGTGTGGGCGCCCCAGTCCTGGAAGGGCTCTGTATTTGATGGGCTCTGGCTGGGTTCCCTCTTCCCTCTTCCACTCCCTGCTCCCCACCCCCCCACCTTCAGAAGTTTTCCCTCTCTCCATCCCTCCCTCTCTCTTCTCCTGCCCACCTCAGCCCTCCTCCCCTCCCCTCAGGCCTTCATGCCTATGCTTAGTTTCTCCCCTGCACACCCCACTCTGCCAGGACATCTCTGGACCCCCATTCCCTCTAAGCTCCAGGCCCCCTGCAGAAGGGTGGGGGTCACTGTTGTTTAACACCTGCTCCCCGTGTCAGACATGTGCTGTCTCATTAGTGCGCCTGTCCCCCCAAGTGAGTCAGGCAGGAGCCACCGTGGCAGCGAGAGGCCTAATTGAATGTAACTAATTATTCACTCCCTTAAATGGGCCTGGGAGGGACAGAATTACTCACTCTGAAAGGGGAGACAGGGAACTGGCCGCCTGGCAAACAAATCCCCGGGCCTGTGGAGCCGGCTCTCCTCGGAATACTAATTAGGGCAGGAGTGACAGG